CCTCTCAGGTGCATAAGGGATAGAAATGGAAACGATGCTCTCTGACGTGCTGTCAGGATGAAACTGCACATTTGCATAGGAGCAGTTTTGCATTTCACATTTTAGTTCTCCTACACCAACAATTCCAGTGCTTTCTTAATTAAATGGCCTAAATAAATTCTAAGATCAGAATCGGTTCCTGTGTCCAACCACTTCTGCACATCAAACTCCCTCCTCCAAGGTCGCAGGCCCAGATCCTTGAGTCGCTCTTGCCTCAATCCGAGGAAGCGAGTCTCCACCAGCTTGTAGAATTGTTTCGAATTAAACCGATTTCAATTTAAGAGGACACAGCTTCCAATGTAAGCGGCCCTCACAACTCTCGGCTTTTACATTAAGTTGTCTGAAATATGAAGTTAAAATAAGTAGAGAGCAGCCCTTCTGCACACACTAAAGCTATTCAAGTCTCAAGCCAGGAAACGCAGACCTACCCGAAGCAAGGCGAAGAGAAACCCCACCCCACCCACCGCGTCCCCGCCCGAGGACTGGCCCGTCCTCGCCCCGCCCAGAATCCGCCCCCACGCTGCTGAGACTATCCAGCGCGCGCCTGCGCAGTTTACTATAGACGAGGAGGGTTACCCGGACAGTAAGAACACGGTGAGTTAGTTTCAGTCTTTCTGGTTTAAGCCGGTTGTTCGCGGTCCTCGTTCTGCATTCTCGGGCCTGGAGGTCGTTCCCGACGTTAAAGCCGCCGCACCCACGCCTGGAAATCCCCGCACGGCCGTGAGAGGTTCCGGCCCTGGGGCTCCGCCGCCGGCAGGGTATCTGCGTCAGTTTCGGTGTAAAATCGGCGCTGACGCGGGTCCCCGCCCCGGCCTTTCTGCCCTCGGCCGGTGCATATGCCGCCTGCCGCGTCGTTTTCTTGCTTAAAACCCTTCCCTGAACTCGGTCCGCCTTGGGCAGCTTCAAGTCTCTAGGGATATTCCCGCCGCTCCCCGCTCAGTGTCGCCCCTGGAGGGTATCTCGGGGAGAGAGGAGAAATGTATGAAGATGAGGGACAATCCGAGAGGTTGGGGAGAAAAAGCAAAGAGGTAAAACAGGGCAGGAGTGGGTCTGAACAGGTCTAAGAGGAGGACTAGAGAGAAGGGGAGAAACAGCAGGAGAGGAGATAGTGGACAACAAAATGAGCAGAAACTGAGGAGGAAACACAACATAAAAAAGACAGGAGCAAGAGAAAAGCAAAGCCGGTAAGACAGATGGCATTCATAGTGAGAGTGGAAAACACGCAGTCATGGAAAAAGAGGGGACTCAGATCCAAGAGTGGTGAGTTGATGGGATATGGGTGATTAAGTTGTAATATATTTGTGGCTTTATAACATAAAATTTGTTTAAATCATACACATGAGAATGAAAAGGACAAAAACTCCTGTCTTTAGGACTTGTTTATTTTATCATTATTTGCATCAGAAGATAACCTCCATCATAAGTGCTATTCAGCTGGAGGGCGGTGACTTGTCTCATTTTGGCTTCAACCTCTGCCTTCAGGAGACTCTTTGTACAGGGTGCCTTTTCAAAGGAACATTAGAAGTTTTTTGTTTGTTTAAGAGATTTACTTTTATCTTCATAATTAATTGTTCTTTTTCAGCATTATTGAGATTAATGTTAGTCAATTTCAACTTTTCTCTAAATAATAACTGTTCTGTTTAATCAATTCTGATTCATAGTGACCGCTTGTGAGAGAGTAGAACTGCCCCATAGGGTTTTCTTGGCTGTAATCTTTATGGAAGCAGATCACCAGGTCTTTCTCCCACAGAGCTGCTGTGTGGGTTCAAACTGCCGATGTTTTTTTTTAAAGTAATATTTCACTGTGTTTTGGGTGAAGGTTTACACAGCAGTTTAGGTTCCCATTCAGCAATTTCTACCAAGTTGTCCATTGACGCTGATTACATTCTTCACAGTGCATGAACATTCTCGTTGTTTCTGTTCCGGTTGTTACGTTTCCATTCATCTAGTTTTCCTGCCCCCTTACATTCTCATCTTTTATTTTATTTTTTAACTTTATTGTGCTTTAGGTGAAAGTTTACAGCTCAAGTTAGTTTCGCATTCAAAAATTTATATACGTTGTTTTGTGACATTTGTTGCAATCCCACCAATGTGACAGCACTTTCCCCCTTTCCACCTTGGTTCCGTGTGTCCATTGGTCCAGTGCCTGTCCCTTCGTGCCTTCTCATCTTGCTTTTGGGCAGGAGTTACCCATGTGGTCTTGGGTATTTGATTGAACTAAGAAGCACGTTCCTAACCTGTGTCGTTTGTCTGTTTCATAAACCACAATAACCAAACCCATTGCTGTCAAGTGGGTTTTGTCTCATATCGACCCTATAGGACGGAGTAGAACTGCCCAGTAGGGTTTCCAAGGAGTAGTTAGTAGATTCAAAATGCCCACCTTTTGGTTAGCAGCCGAGCTCTTAACCACTGCTCCTGTTTGTTTCATAGGTGTGTCTAATCTTTGTCTGAAAAATGAGCTTCAGGAGTGGTTTCAGTTCTAAGTTAACAGAGTGTCTGAGGACCATAGTCTCAGAGGTTCCTCCAGTCTATGTCAGACCAGTCAGTCTGGTCTTTTTTCGTGAATTTGAATTTCTGCAACATTTTTCTCCCACTCTATCCGGGACTCTGTTGTGATCCCTGACAGAGCAGTTGGTGGTGGTAGCTGGGCACCACCTGGTTCTTCTGGGCTCAGGCTGGTGGAGGCTGTGGTTCATGTGGCCCTTTGGGCTAATATCGTCCTTGTGTCTTGTTTTCTTCATTCTCCTTTGCTCTGGACGGGATGGAACCAATAGATGTATTTTAGATGTCTGCTTGCAAGCTTTTGAGACCCCAGATGCTACTCACCAAAGTAGGATGTAGAATATTTTCTTTATGAACTATGTTATGCCAGTTGACCTAGATGTTGCCCGAGACTGTGGTCTCCAGCCCTCAGCCCCAGCAACTCGGTTCCTCAGTTGCTGGGTTTGTATATGTCTAGGAAATTTCTATGGCTTTGCCTTAGTTAAGTTGTGCTGATTTCTCTTATATTGTGTGATGTCTTTCCCTTCACCACCACCAACCTTTTGGTTAGCAGCTGAATGCTTAATCATTGCTCCACCAAGTCTCCTAACTTTGACGCTAGATGTCATAACTTTTTTTTCCAAAATTGTTTTTCCTTTTAAATTTACTAGGTCAGGTTCAAATTATTAGAACTACATGCTTTCTACTTTTCATTACATATTGGGAACATTCTTTGGTACCTAGTAAATAATGTTAGACTGTTTATGTCAATTATCTTTTGTATTGATAGAGAAAACCTAGCTTAAGCAGTAATCTAATACTCAATTTTCTTCCCTTGTGTGATCTGTTAAAATAGTGAGCTCTGAGCTACAAGTAGACGTTCCCCTCTCGTCCCTCTTGTCCTTTCTGTGCAGATGTCAGAGGCTGTGCTGGATTGACTTTGAACCTTGTTCCAGCAAAGCCCATGTATTCACAATGAAGAAATTTGCTCAGAGATTCTTTCCTAAGCTGAACCCTGATTCAGTCAGCAGCATGTTACACAGTTGATCACTCCCTTTCTTGGGAAAAACGTTTTTCTTGCTTTTCAGGACATCACAGTATTCTTTAAATATCTACCTGTCTGTGTATTTCTTTCATTTTTGACTTTTCTTCCTGATCATGCCTCAGGTTCCTCCTCTGGTTTTTCCTGGACCGCCTGGTTTCTGAAGGAGGGAGCACTCCAGGGTGCAGTTCTTGCCCCTCTTCTCTGTGTACACCCGCGGACTTCCCATGTTATCTCACGGCTTTAAACACCCTGACGTCTCCCAGTTTCACCTCCAGCCAGACCTCTCCCCTGAACTCCAAACTCATGTGTCTAGCCGGCTCCTGGACATGTCTGCAAGGCTTCTCACAGGCATCTTCTCCACCTTAAACCCTAAATGTGTTTCCCCTGCCCTCCTCCAGGTCTCAGTTAAGGGCAGCTCCGACCTCCTGGAGCTCCGATAAATATCTTGGAATTTTTTCTAAATAGACAAGATAGTGCATTATTTGTATATAATTTAGGATAAAATGAAGAAAAAAAAGAGATGTTATCTTAAAATGAGTGAAGGAATACATAGTTTCCAAAATTCTTTCGGGGTGTGGAAGAAAAACAGCTGAAGACTTCAGCCCCTTCCTGATCTGCTTCATTAGCAACTCTGTGACTTCATGTCCTCCTTGACTCCTTGCTCACTCCTCTGCTCTAGCCACACACACTTCTTCCTGGGACCAGAATCCCTACTGCTTCGGGGCTTCCAGGCGGACAGTCCCTCTGCCTGTATCTCCCTTGTCCCTCACATGCACCTGGTACACACCCTTCATTCTTTAGTTCTTTGTGCTATTATCACCTTCTCAGGGCAGTCTTCTCTGACCCCCATTTAACATTTCAGTCACACCCTCACCCCCAACCCCTGGCCCATGATATGCATTCTGCAAGATTCTCTGTGCTCTTTCCGTTGCACTGGCTGGATCCGTGTGACATCATGGTCCCTGGGCAGAGCAGAGCCACAGGTGGAAGGTGGGTGTGCTGGCCTTGCCTCCTCTGAGCTGGCTCAACCCTGGCTTCCCACTGGATTGCTCAGGCATTTTGCAAATACATCACTTGTGCCCCTCCTCAGAGGTTGCTCTTCAGATACTCTGGGTGATGTACAGGCTCAAGAATGTTTAAAGTGCCCCAGGTGATTCTAATCTGCATGCAGCTGTGAGCACCAAGGCTCTGGGCCCTCCATTTCTGTCCCTGATCCAGGGGAGGTGAGGAGGCTCTGCTGTGCATAGGGTGTGGTGTCAGGGCTGGTCTGGAACTGAAGGGAAGGGTCAGTCCAGCACAGATCCCTCTGCTGCAGCGGAGTGTGGGCTTCACCGGGAGGGGAGGGAGATAAACTCACCTGTTGGTCTCCATGTAGAAGGTTATTGTCCCTGAGTTCCTCCTGGGGCAGTGGGCAACAGGGACCATCTTTCCCCAAGTGAGGTCCTCCCTGTGTGTGTGGTTGTGGCACAGGAAGGGGTATGCTGATTCTAAGAATTTAACAGCATATTTTCGACACTTACATTGACATCTCAGTAGTGATCTTGCCTGAGAATGAAACCAGGAGGAAGAGGAGGAAAGAAAGACAGGTGCAGAATGGCTCTTTCCCAGGTAAGTCATATTCTTTGTTGACGGCTCTGTCTTCTCCTTCCTGAAATGCTGTCCGGCAATTTGCTCATCTCCTCTGACTCTGACATGTCCTACTTGACAAGTTCGCTCACACTCATCCAAGGCCTTCCCGCAGTCCCCTCTCACCTGCAGGCAGATTGCATCTCACGATGACCCAGTGACATGGGACTTGTGAAGAGGCTCCATTTGGGGAGTCATGGAAAGGGCTTCATACCAGTCCTGGGTGGGAGATAGGGGCTGGGCCCCCGTAGGGGCAGTGAGACGGGGTAGCAGAGAGGCTTTAGGGGTTGCATCTGTGAACCAGCATTAAAGAAACCACACGCTTATGTGCTATATTAATCTGTGGGAACAGCTGAAATTTCAGAAAAGAAGATTTATAATGGGAAACCTGCCCTGCCAGATTTTATAAGAAATTTGAACCTCAAGAAGTGAATCAGTATGTTTCCGGTACCAAAATATTAATGACGTGGAATGGAATGGAAAGTTTTTAACAGACATCAATGATGCTTCATTGCAAAATCAGTTTTAAAATACAGAATCCACCTAAAAGTCTACAGTAGAAGGTTCTTTAAATCATTCACAGCACATCTGCTGGGAAAATCAAATCCCAGTTCTCACTTCTCTGATAGGCCGTGTGTTGATCAGTGTAAAGCAGTCTTATCAATTCTGTTTCTTTGTTTCACTTCTGCACATCTGGCACTTCTTACTCTGATCCCAGCCACCTGGAGCTAGGCCACGTCTCACAAGTTAAAGACATGTCCAACTGCCAAGCCTGCCTGACACATCAGATGCCAGCAGCAACCTCCTCAGGTTTTAGATAATAAAAGCACCTCAGTTATTCAGGAGATTGAATGGGTATATCTGTCAGGAAAAAGGAGCCCTGGTAGTGCAGTGGTGAAGCGCTCAGCTGATAACCAAAAAGTTGGTGATTCAAACCCTGTAAAAATGGTGTGGCAGAGGCGTCTGACCTCCTCTAACTTCACAAGGGGGAGGGAGAATCAAGATCAACAGCCCAAGGCTGATTGCTGTGAAGCAAAGATCAGACATACTTCCTCTCACCAGCGCCTTCTACCAAAGCCACCCTCTACTTCTCTATGAAGTTTGATAATTGGTTGCAGTGACCACACAGAGCTCACAATACAGTTATAAGGTTTATTAGGGAAGTAACAGGTTACAGTTCAGGTTCAGGAATACCAGGATGCAGTTTTTTGATCAGAACAGCCTCATCTCAGCAGAGCCAGCAAGCATGCCTATCTCTGGCCCCTCAGCCTCTGCCGTCTTCAGGCAAGTGTTACAAAGCTCTTTCAGCTCTGCTGATAAGTGCCTTGAGACACCTCACACCGCCACTAGGTCTCGGCCTGAAGATGTTTTTCTGTAGCTTGTTTGATCGGCAAACCTAGCTCTCTTAAGTGCCCAGAAGCACCCTACTCCACCAGCATGCCTCTTGCCCAAAGGCACTCAGCTTTCTCGCTCCATGGCCAGGCCATCTCCTGCCGACTTCCTGGTTCTGCTGACACTGTTTCTCTGCTGCCGCTTCGTACCATCTTCATTGTTGTGCATCTCTCTCTTTCTTGGTCTCCTGCTTCCAGCAGCTTCTCAGCTCAGAGATCCTGGGAACAGAAGATGCACTCCACTCCTGGCTCTTCTTTCTTGGTGGTGGTGAGATCCTCTCCTCCCACCTCTGGAGTGGCTCATTTTAAGCCTATTGGGATGGCAGGCAATCCCTTCGTTAGGGTTCCGTATACTTTATTTGCATAGTCCCACTCAATCATTGTGTATGAATCACAAAGACTATGGCTAGAAGGGCCATATTAAGCAGTTCATTGCACAGCAGACACACCCAGCGATTCCGAAGGAGAAAGACCTGGTAATCTGCTTCTGTAAATATTATAGCCAAGAAAACCCTATGGGGCATTTCTACTCTTGTCACATGGGGTTGCTGTGAGTTGGAATTGACTTGACAGTACCCAACAGCAACATCTATCAGGAAGCAAGGACAAAGGCCGTATAGCTCTCTGTAAGGTGATTCATTAGGGAGTCTTGGTGCCACAATGGTTAAATGCTGAGCTGCTAACTAAAAGGTCAGCTGAACCCACCAGCAGCTGCATGACAGAAATGACGTGACAGATCTTCCAAAAGATTATAACGTAGGAAACCCGATGGGGTAGTTCTCCTCTCTCATATACAGTCACTATGAGTTGGAATCCACTTGGCACACAACAAGAAGTTGATTCATTATCGCACAACTACCAGCTGGCCTTTGGCTATGGATTTCTTTTTTATGCCTAACATTTGGAGGATTACTTTTCCCCTCCCTTCATTATGCTGTTATTTATATGGTTATCTAGATCCAGTTCTTCCTCAGGCAAGTTACTTATTATATCTGGAGGAGGCTTTAACTCAATTTCCCAATACATTTTAACCACCAATATTGGTATTCGACAGTGCTAGTGTTATACCTTAATCTGAAAAATGAGTCAGACTGACATACTGCTGGAGTCCCAGTCAGTCATTAGCCTCAGTCCATCATCACTTCGTGTTGTAAAACTACTCCCAGGCCACTCAGGTTTGGAACACATTTCCATCTGATCTTGTCAGGTTCCAAAAGTAAGAGTGGTCTCATCACCCTTTCAGGCATCATATAATTGAGCTAAGGGAAAATAAGTCGTTTTTTATCCTAAGCCTTTTTCAAAGCGTTAATGTAATTTTTTGGATTTCCCTCATTGTATAACCCATTCATTCATTACACACAGCTACTCTTTTTCCTTTTTTTCTATTTATATACAAACCTTTCTACCTTCGGAAGGGACTTTAGATGTGCGGCCACTGTACTGGTCTAGATTGCCAGCACAGTGCTGCTCCGGAAAGTGCCTCCCTGTCAGTCCACTCACAGTTAGAGTTTTTGCTTAGGAATTATCCCTGCTTCCATTACTCACCCTGGTTGCAGCCCAGGTCCTGGACCACAGCATCAGACAAGGGGAAAAAATATTTGAGGCTATGTGGGGAAAAGAGACAAAAATTAAAGTGATATGGGGAAGAATTGTGTAGTCATACTAGCATCCTCCCCCATCATTTCTTCCCCAGATCCAGAGAAGTCAGAGGAATCTATCCATTGGAGATTCTCCCTCTCCCTCTTCATTGAATGTGAGCACACACTTTTGAAGGTGTGTAAGCCAGCTCTTTATACCTTTATCTCTCTATTTTAGAGAAGCAATGTTTAAATTCCCTGTTCTAATTTGGTATCAGACTACTACTCTGAGAATAAAAGCATGTTCCTTTGAAGAAATATGACTCAGCAGTCCAGATTGATGCAGAGTCTTCTGGTTCTTTAATGGTACTCTGAGCATTTGCATCTACCACAGGGTAAGCAAAGCCCAGTCCGGAGTAAGTGAAGCATCCCAGGACTATCAGCATCAGTCTGACATGCCAACTACGTGTAGGGCCTTCCCCTAGGAATCTGCCCCACAGCCATCTCCAGTCTATATCTCTCTTGCTGGCACACAGAACAGTTTTTATTGGCATTTTGTATCTATCGGTAAAAGAGGACTATGTCTAGATTCAGTCCATCTCTGCATTGCTGCACCACCCCCATTTTCATGCATCTCCTGGACCCAGGTAGTCACCTCAAACAAGCGTATCAAGATATCTCAAGCTCCAGTTAATTGCCAGTCCTGAAAGAGGGTTCTTCTCATGGGTATGGACATGTCCTACATAATGCATCTCACAGATTTTCATAGGGTTGTTTGAAATCCCTTTTTGAACATCCTTTTAATGCTGTATCTGTTACTTGACTGATTCTTTAGATTCACTGCTGAAGCCTGTCCACCTCTTTAGGTGCTGTGTCTGCCACTTACTAGCAGTTTGAACTGAGGCGAGTTTCTTTTTTTTATTGTCCACAAAACATGACTGAAAGGATTTCATATACTCTGCTGGAAAAATGTGGCAGAACAAAATTAGGGACATAAAACTTATGTAATGTTATCTTATGTGGATCTGTCAAAATGCTCACATCAACAGAATTGATTTGTATACATTTCTCCTACCATTTTCTTGAAAATTAAAACATTCCCTTGTGCACTTGGTGAGATGTGTTTTTCATTTCAGGGACTGTTGACGTGCAGGGATGTGGCCATAGAATTCTCTCAGGAGGAGTGGGATTGCCTGGACCCTGCTCAGAGGGCTTTGTACAGGGATGTGATGTTGGAGAACTTCAGGAACCTGGTCTCCCTGGGTGAGCATATCTTCCCTCCAGATGTTGGAATCTGCCCTTGTGTATCTTTGTATTTTCCCTTGTGAGTGTCTTGGAAACCCCTACCCTGCTTGATGCCCTATTCTTAAGACAGTCACTGAAGTTGATTCAGAAATGAAAAGCTTCATAATGCAATATCTGGACTTTAGTCTTCCTCTTCTTCAGATGATCTGCCCACTTCATGCTAGAACATTGCTGTTTCCGGGGCTTGAGTAAGCACAAAACCTTATGGCTTACTTTATTTTTTTAAAATATATTTTATTAATTTATTTTATTGTTGAAAGTAGTATTTTATGATAAACTTTATAATACATGTTAACTGATGCTGGTGAAAGGATGAATTACTTGTTTTCCTTTCTCTTGCCTAATGAGTAATGTTTTTAATCTCTTTTATATTAAAACAGTTAATTATACATTTTTCCAAAAGCTTAAAATTTTGATTACATAAATCAAAGAACAATAGTTAAAATGCAAGCATGAGTAAACAGCTAAATGGCTTTTTTCTACTAGAAGCTTTTTTTTAATGTAGTTTATTTTATGTTGTTGTTGAGAATATACATAGGAAAAACATACACTAATTCAGATTTCTACATGTACCTTATGGCTTACCTTTAATGTATCCAATTCTATGACTTTCCTTCTGTGCTTTTGATTCAGCATTTTGAAGGGGGCAGTCAGTGGGTGAACTTTTAAAATGATTTTCAAAAGTCATCTGTGATGTTCTAAGCTGAACAAATGACTTGGATTTTGTTCTGGAGGAGCTACAGCATATCATGTTTCTTTTCTCATAAGCAGGAATCTCTCCTTCTGGGATGAATATTATCCCCATTTTGAAGGAAAGGACGGAGCCCTGGACTGTGGTCAAGAAGATGGATAAAGCAAACTACCCAGGTAGGTGGGAATGTATCAAGATGTGAACATAGATAAGGTCTCAGAGAAGAAACCACAGCATTAAATATTCTTTGGCAGACCCCCTAAATAGAAACACACAAGTTTATTTCTAGTAATGTCTCAAAGTAAATTTTTCTTCTTCATTCTCTTGCCTGCCCATCCACTTAACACTCCCTTCAGACATGTAAGAGTTCATCCTCCAGTGTTGTTCCAGCTCAAGCACAGATAAAGGCAAAGTCTATTATGACCTACAGCACCCTATTATATGGTCTTTGTGAGGTCTTTGGTGGCTTGGCTTTGAGAGGGACAAGCAGGGCTGTTTCAAAGGGGTCCTCTTGCTGTCTTGTTTTCTGCTTCTGTACTTGATTCCATATGATCCCCAGTTTCCAGTTCATACAGGTCAGAGCTGAGGCATCCATTGACCTGAAAGACCCATCCACCTTTCATTCTCATTCCACACTCTTGGGAGACCTTCTCAGGAGACAGCAAAGCATTGTTAGCTCTTCCATTGCATATGAGGCTCAGGAAATTGCATAAGGCTTTTACAAGACCTCCTTGTTCTGTTTTGCCCCTGTTAGAGAACTCGATTTAGCCTTTGTCTTTGGTTCCAAAAAGATAACCGTTGGAATTTCCTAAGTAGGCAAGGTGTCTTTGTTATCAAATGCCTGGCAACACTTTAAAATTTGTGCAAATGAGTTGGGGGCTACACAAACCCCACCCTATCAGGTATCCTTAGACAGTAATGCATGAATCTGTCAGTCATGACTATGCAATGAGGCCTTAAGCATGACTATACAAAACCAAAAAAACCAAACCCAGTGCCATTGATTCGATTCCAATTCATAGTGACCTTATAGAACAGAGTAGAACTGCCCCATAGGGTTTCCAAGGAGCAGCTGGTGGATTACAACTGCTGACCTTTTGGTTAGCGGCTGAGCTCTTAACCACTGCACCAGCCAAGCTCAGTGAAGCCAATTAAAGACTTTGAACTCGGAAGTTCTGGGGACATGCTGGTTCTTGAGAACATCTGTTCTTGAGATGATTGTGATTCCCTGGGACAGTCCCTGCGGACATCGAAGCCTCATACAGGGACGACTGCCTTTCTGAGGTTAGTTCAGGACCCCTCCTAGACCTGTTCCTATACGTCTGTTCATTTCTGTCCTTTCTTGTTTGCAATGCAAGTGGTATGGTGGCAATAGTGTCAGACCTCGTCTAACTTCAGGAAGAATGAGTATCACCATCAGAATCAGCTAAAAGCAGATTCCTGTGAGGTGTACGTTAGACATACCTCCACTCCACTCTTTTTTTTACCAATTCTGACACCATCTGTTTCCCCCACGACACTCTCTGCTTCTCTGCCAGGTTCGATAATTCATGGGAGTGGCCACACAGAACTCACAGGCCATGCTCACAGATAAATGGTTTATTAAGAAAGTAACATGGGATCAGGATCAGAAAATATGTAGGCAGAGTCTCCCTTCTTTAGGGCAGCTCTCTCAGCTCCTCCCAGCCATGCAAGCAAGCAGGTCCTTCTCTCTGCTGTGCACACCCCCTTTTGGCAGTGCAGCCCTCTCAGCCACCTGAGGACAGGCTTCCTCTCAACCCCTTGAGGATAGGCTTCCTCTCGGCCCTCTCAGGACATGTTTCTCTCGGGCATCTCAAGACAGTCCCCCTGTTGGCCCCTGTCCTGCTTGGCAAGTGTTACAGCTCTTTTAGCTCCGCAGACAAGTGCCCAGAAACACCCCACTCCGCCAGCACCCTAAAAAGCTGATTCCTATGAGGTGGAGGTCAGACATATTTCCAGTTTCCAACCTTTTTACCAATTCTGACAACAGCAGTCCCTCCCACCGCAATCTCTATTTCTCTGATGGGTTCAGTAATTCATTGCATGGCCATAGAGAACTCACAGACCGTACTCACAGTTATAAGTTTATTAGGAAGGAAACAGGTTACAATCCAGGATCAGGATCAACTTGGAGTTAACAGGAGCAACTCAGGATACAGTTCTTCAATTAGGACAATTTCTTCTTGGCTGCTGTCGTCAGGCATGCACTCTTGGACTGGGACCTTGCTTTTGACCTGAGTTCTCACTCTTGGTTGCAGAGCCAACTCAGGCCTGGCCTCTGACCTGCTTGGGCAAGTGTTACAAAGCTCTTTACCTCTACCGATAAGTGCCCAGAGGCACCCTACGCCTCCAGCAAGCCTCCTGTCTGAAGATGCTCAGCTCTTTTGCTCAGTAAGTCAGCACGCCCACTGCAGCTGCCTCACTCTGTGGGCCAGAACAACACTGCGCCTTCTCACACTAGTCTCCTGGTTCTGCTGTTGGTGTTTCTCTACTGCCGGTCTCTCCCATGTTTGCCACCACTTCTCGCCGTTTTGTGCTGTCTCCAGTGTTATAGTTCTCTTTGTCTCTTGGGTGTAGGAGGTTCTCAGCAGGGACTCTAGGTCCGAAGGACAAACTCAGCTCCTCTTCTTGATGCTATTGAAGTCCGCCTTCCCACAACCTCTGGGATGGGCTCCTTGTAAGCCTAGCAAAATAGCAAAACTGACCAATTCCCCACAAGGGTTCCATGCATCTTATTTCCATAGTCCCACCCCCTCAAAGTTTCCGTGTACCTTATTTGCATTAGAGAACTGTCTGATCGTTTTGGTGGGCCATAAGCACCTTATTTACATAGTCCCACCCAGTCATTTTGTGGGAGTTACAAGACCATGACTAGAAGGACCATACAATAGCAGTTCACAGCACTGCACTATCAAAGTTTGCTTTTCCCATTTAAAATTAGTTGAATTTTTTACATTAGGAATTTTGTGTATCTTTGGAGTATACCCTTTGTATTAAGTGACTGTCTTAATCTGACAAATACCATAAAATTAACATGTCATAATTTGTTACAAAAAATATGTTGAGAGGACTCCGGCAAGATGGTGGTCTAGGCAGAAGCACCACGCCGTCCCTCCACAACAAAGATCCGAAAAACTAAGCCAAACAGAGAATCAACAATCCTGAAACCCTAGAACAT